CTTGAATAAAATCTGTGTTCTTGTTTCTATTGTGTGTTATTGTTGTTTTTTTTCCAGTTTCGGAAAATCACTGTGAATGAGTGACGTCATAATCACATTCTTTTGAGTCGCTGCCAAAATCGTAGTAGCAGCGTTGTGAATCGTAGTAGCACCGTATAGTATAATGTAAATACATTGTAAACACCCCGTATTTAGGGGCTATATGTACTGAATTGACCCAGCTATCCCCTAGACCCCCCAAAATGCACTCCCTTGACCCGGCTATCCCCCCAGGGGGACTGTACTCAGTTGACCCAGCTATCCCCCTAGCCCCAAAAGTGCACTCAGTTGACCCAGCCATCTAGGCGTCTTATACTACTGAGACTTCTGGTTTCAAGAGAACTGATACCTAGTAAGGAGATTTTTTCCATAGTGGATAAATAATGGCCCTTAAATTTTTTGTCTTACTGCAAGATAATCTATCAAACTTGCTATTGGACACAGGATTCCCTCACTTTTATCAATGGCTAAAGAAACCCCCTTTCTATCTTGATCACATTTTGACATTCTTAAGTGTACAAAAACCTTGGAGCAATTAGCTTGAAATTGAACATCAGTCACTTGTAAAATTGTATGAACACTATTACCAGTAGACAATGCAAATTCCCCTATTCTGAGAAAACCAAGGAAGGCTAATAAATAAGCAGCTCTGAACAATTTTGTTACATAACTATCACTACAAATGCTCGGTAAAACCCTAACAACTCTAGTAAGCAACTGCAAGGTTATAGGTAGCCTTGCATCTGCAGACCTATCAGTTCTTCTCATACCCTCAAGAACCTTTACAACCAGAAGTTCTTTGTTCCATCAACCCAGTTATGAATTTTGCATTGAAAACTAATAGAAGATAGATAAGATTTAGCCGTATCATACACACATGTAGGAACACTTCTTAAGGTAGGATTATTTTCACACAAAACTGTATTTCTCGTATCTAAAATTAATGAAATTATCTCAGAATCGAGAAGACAATATTACTAAGTGATGGTATCAGTTAGATTAGTTTTGACCGTGTTATATTAGAGTCAAGGTCAGGTCAAGGTCATTTCCTTTTCCCTGGACATTAAGAATAATAATGACTGCATCCCAATCATGGGATAGTGTCTTATATTTCAAAAGATTTAATGTTTTTCTTTTTGCATAAAAAGATATAACCATATATGGTCTATAAGATGATATTACCAAATTAACTCTTGTAAATAGTTTAACAAAAATGGATTTTGGTTAATCCGAATTTTCTCTATTTTCTTACTTGTTTAGGATATTGAAGTTATTTTTATATGCGCCCTATATTTAAATTTTTCTTATTTTCACACATGGTAAAGAAGTCGTATAGAGAAACAAAATGATACAAAAAGAAAAAGTTTTGACCGTTTACTTAGAGAGTAAAAAGACGAATTTTTTGCTCATTTCTGTACTTAGATTGGAAGTTTTAAATGCTAACATAATAGTAGTTTGTTTGAAAAATCATATTTATTTGATATATTTTAAAACTTTAATTCCTTATTTTAATTTATCTAACATTTAAAAAATTCTTCAAGTCTCTGATTGTGTAAAAATTATAACTAAATTTGTTGTTCTGTAATAATTTTGAGAGGCAGAAAAGAAGATATTTTCATACGCCACCATTCCGCCAAAAATATTGTCCCTGCTAGTTTTCGAACACAATTTACCATTTCTATTTAAAGTTGTACAATTGTGATGAGGAAAGAAAAATATGGTCTTTTAAATCTCTTTCACCTGTATATACAAGGCATATTAGCAAATATACATTGAATATTTCATCTACTCCGAAACCAGAGAAGAATTCTACCTTAATTAAATGAAAGATAAGCAACAAAGTGAACAACATCCATAAGAGGTGGGGGCCATGGAATTTCGTACCCAAATTCTTTCCGGAAATTATAAAATGAATTTTTCCCTGTTTCGTATGCTGTCTTAGTGTTGTAAGAGATTGAAGCATCTAGCAATTTATTCATTTGAATCTGTAAATCATGTTGACCAATTCTACTGGCAGAGGGTCTGGTCTGGTGCTTGCCTCTGGTGACAACGTCCTGAAGCGGAACCACTGTTTGCGAGAAATAGAATCTGCAATTTTGTTATCCAAGCTACCAAACTGAATGTGATTTGCCCTAAATATAACATTGTTCATCATCAGTCTAAGAACCATATGTCTTACGAATTCCATAACTCTTTTGGACTTAGAAGATTGGGTATTGATGACACTAACTAGTGAAAGGTTATCAACATGACATTGAACTTTTTTATGTAGCAACTTACATGTACGTCCCCATATCTCTATTGCTAAAACTACTGGTGTGAGCTCAAGAAAAGCCATGTCTCTCAAAATTTCTTGGTTGTTCCAGTGTTTTGGCCATTGGAGAAAAAAAACAACTTCCTAAAGTAACCCCCACAACCTAAATGACCTGAACCTGCACTATCTGTAAATAACTGTAAAATACTAGAATCTTTCCGTACAGTATTAGGAAAATATGCTACCCCATTGAAATGGTTCAAGAACACTAGCCACATTCTAAGGTCACTTTTAATTCCAACTGATAATCTTTTATGATGATGTGTCTTGAAAACTCCACTAAATGCATCATACATTCTTCGAATAAAAACTCTACTAGATCTGATTGCCTTTGAGAAAAAATTGAGCAATATAAAGTGTTACTAGTTGTGCAGTTCCTAGTATATATAGTTCAACCTAAAAAGTACAAATTTGTAGAGTATTTTTTTAAGTGATTACCTGATTTAATTTAAAGATGATGTAAATGTGATTCCATTTCTTGTATCCATCATTTCCATCGGTACAAAAACTTAAGTCTTTTTTTATATGCTTACTTTATATTCCTTACACAGTCAACAGAGACTGAACCTAAAGATTAATCTATTGTACGAATATATCAGTTTTCTCGGGGAAAATATCTTATTCCTTCGTTGATCTTTTAAAAAAGAAATTGTTTGGTTGCCCTCTCTTGGCAGACTGGCTAAAAATTAGGCTGATCCCCTGGCACATCCTTGCCAAGAAGAGCCCTAGTGATGCGGAGTACACAAAGCATAACAGGGACAGGGAACCAGGGTTACCAGGCTAGCTAAAAATGCACTCGGTACACCTCGGCTGATTTATATAACTCATATGATGAAGGTGATGGAATAAGCCAAAGTTTGCCGAAGACTAAAAGTTACTTTGAAAAAAATTCCAGGAGGTAACTGTTTTTTAATGCATTCTTGAATTTTTTTTTTAATTCGGCATTCCAAATTGAAATATCCTGAAAGAAAATCATCTACAGGCATGTACCGACCCATTTTTTTCCTCATTCCGATTCGGGGGAGGGCAAACAAACATCATTTCACCTTTACATGTACACAACCTTAAATATTAACTATAACTGTAATACATTGAAATACATCAAAAATCAATTTATACTTGGTAGATTCCAATAAAAACAAACACCCAATCTAAAAATATAAGGACATTTATTTCATTTTATAACTTCATTTTTCTAGACAATTTTGTCACAACAATGAACATCATTAGTGTTTAACTATAGAAGACTGGATGTAGAGTTGACCGGATGTAGAGTTGTAGATCATTTCCTACTATTATAGATACTTAAAACATTATTTTTGTAAAACTACTTTAATGTGTGGTTTTCATACCGATTGAAGGATATCTTAAAACTAAAAAAATAAAACGTATTTAAATAAGGCTGGATAAAATTAATTCTACGTTTTACGTCAACTTAAAATGCATAACCAAATGAAAAAGGGGAAAATGAACCAAAATAAAACATTCAAATGAGTATTCCTTCATTTACATGAATCTAAATTCTTTGATATTTGGGTAACATGTAACAATATCGGCTAATGGTTATATTTTGTTAATCTGTCAGTTAGAAATATAATTTTGCTCATTCCAAAATACATCTCATACTGAGATAAAATAATGTTTTGTTTTTTTTTTCTCGTAGAACCCACAGAGTGTTTAGTTTTTGAAGCTAAATGCAAAAGCGGAAATACAGATATTTTAAATATACTATTTTTTTTCAATTTCTTGAAAACTAGTACTAAGGCGCGCCTGAATGACATTAAACATAGAGTTACGTCTTTATACTTGTATATAGAACTGAGTAATTATCCAGGTGAAAAGTTAGAGGAAAGAAAAAAAATATATAATCATATATTAATCATTAAGGAAGAGATAAGATAATGTTATATTATTAATACAACATGACTTTCTAAAAATAAAAAAAATCATTTATAACAAGTATACAGCATATACTGTACATATACGACCCATGTATCTACATAAAAATCAAAGGCCTAGTACGTAAATTGATGATTTCCAATGAAAATAACTTTAGTAACAAATAGCTGTACACTGTACATGTTTATATGACAAGAGTATAAATATAACAATATATTTACAATTCCATATCAACAAAAAATATTAACAATTTGTTTCCTATACAAATGAGTTAAATCTTACTTATTTACATACAATGTACATTGGATTTCAATTAAATATAACATCTATAGGCAGTATTCTAGTATGTTACTGTTAATAGACTGTGACCTTGAACTTTGCAGATAATTCAACCAGCTCTAAACTAGTTTTCATCAGCAAGACGAAGATCGAGTTAATGATACAGGCTCGAATTCACTAACTGAGGGCTCAAGTCCACAAATTATCGGTTCGAGTTCACTAACTCAGGGCTCGAGTTCACTAATTATAGGTTTGAGTTCACTGGCTAGGGGCTCGAGTTCACAATTATACGTTCGAGTCTACTGACCAGGGGGTCGAGTTCACGAAATATAGGTTCAAATTCACTGGCTAGGGGCTCGAGTTCATATGTTATAGGCTTAAGTTCACTATACGCTTTGGGACTCAAGTTCAGACAGGTAGTTTAAACTGAAGTTAAAACCTATAGACTCAAGTTTAAAAACAAACATAGAGTCGAGTAGTTCAACAGTTATTGTTCCTGTTCTCCACCAGTAGAACTCGAATCACTCGCTGTAGAACTCGAATCACTAGCTTTATGCTCAAGTTTAATTACTGCAGGATTGGGTTTTAAACAGCTACCATTGTGGTAGGTGCAATCTCACCGGCTAAAATTGAGTTTTCCAGCTCTACGCTCACATTAACGATTCCAAGTTCAAGTTCACCGTTCTCCCTGTGATCAAAATTCATTCACTATAAGCTTGGTAGTTTTTTTTAATACATCCACACCTTTAGAAGAGCATCTGAGTGAAAAGGTACCTTTAATATCAGCGCACATCTCCGTCACGTCCCGTAGAAGAGTTTCATTTAAACTGAGTACACTGTACAACTATCGACAAACGTTTAGATGGAGCGTCTTTTCGCACGTTTTACATTTGACGTAACAACACCAGTAATATTTACATTCACATCGTTCTACTATTTTTTTAGTGAAGCTTCGGTAGCCCCGTCCACAACACATTGCGTCACATCCGCCCCAACCGGAACTGTCAGTCCTACAAAACCTACAACAAAAGGATAAAATTACAAATCAAAAAATTATACGTCATTTTCTGCATTTCTCACTGATTATTTGTAATTTTCTGGTAAATTTTTAATGATATACTAGTATACACTTTATTTTATCTAAAAATAAAATGCGTTATTTTTTTTTTTTGTTAGTAAGGGAATTAATGACGCAGCTGTTGCAGGAATAAAACATTACCCATGTAAGCCATTGGCTTCAATGTTTAATTCCCGTACTAACACTCAAAGAAAGATCTTTAAGTGTTTTTAGCAATATATGTTCAAATAATCATCTAATATAGGATGAATAAGGTAGCTTAACTATTGTATTTATCGGTACATCATTTTAAATCATTCATTAAATCATCGGTAAACCTTTGTGCGTCTGATGAATGGAATAGCCACTGCCATGAAATCTTAGCAGGTGGTTTAGTTAGTGATGTTTACTGACTGATAAACGCAATTGTTTTTTACAAATAAAGGAAAAAAATATATCCAGTCCATGTAAATATTTTATTGTTTAATTTAAGTTAAAGTCTTCAAGAGAGTTGATTTCATGAAAGACGATAAAAAACGAATATTTGGTTATTCGCGTCTTCAGTGCATGGGGAGCGATGAATTCTGACATTTATATTATAGCTACCCTTCATCGTCCGCTTCGTGGATGATCCTGTGTTACATATATATTAAGTATTCTATCTAATACGGAAAACAGTTCAGAAGTTATCTCTCTTTGATTACATTCTCTCTGCATGTAATACACGACCTGAATCAGTCAAAAGTTTAAATCTGAGAAGACTTAATTTATTTTTCATTCACGCTTGCTAACACCCTAATCACATTCCGTATGATTAATACATCACAACTGTAGCAGATTTACGAGGGGAAATTTTTATCACTTTAAAAGAACGTCAGGGCTTCTCTGATGGTATCGCTGAGAATATTGTGAGCATGAACTCGGCTCTCTAGGGCAAATAGGTAATAAAGGTCGCTTTTGAGAACCCAGTTCTCTAGAATAGGAAGATAAGAAGGGTCTCTTTCTTCTTATTGTCAATCGTAATCATCATAAAATGTGTTTAAGACACAAAAGATTCGTCCAACTCTGGACAGAAGGCAAATTCAATTATAAGCCATCAGTGGACGAGCAGTGCATTTAAATGAAACAGATACTGCTCATCAGCGCACCAGCAAATTACTGTAAGCAAGACACATCGCATAATATCAAGAAGAGATCAAACTTAATGTTTTGTTATATATGAAAAAGTCCTTTATCGTAAGTCATTGCAAAAATATAGAACTTATTAATAAAGTCAAATTGATTTTGTAATATTTTTTTTTAAAATTATTATTTGTTTATCATTACTAACCTCCCTTGAGTTCCGGCTGACCCCGTTTTAGGATCCGGACTGCAATAGTCTGGGGACTTTGTAAAATAAATTAGAGATTTTTCGGAAACACTCTGTACATTAGGTCTCACAGGGACAAATATCCGCTTATTTTTGCGTTTTTTCCTGCGCACTTCCACTGCATTGGCGTATAAATTTTTTAAGGTGGTTCCTATCACAGAGAAATCCGGAAGTGACCTCCAACATGTCTTTATGGAGCAGGAACCGGAAACTCCGTGACATTTACACGCTGTGGTCATACTCTGGGCTACAATCTGTAAAACAATAGTAATTAACATAAAAACATCTTCAGAAAAATAGACAAACTACCTATAACATATATCTTAAGGGAATTTTTGAAAACTTTTTTTTTTCAAAAATTATAAAATCACTGACAGGTAAATTACATGTACTGGAATTTGCAAACTGAAAACTGAAAGCCAGATTCATATTCTTTCATGTTTACTTGATCCGAAAAGTTATTTACTTGGAAGGTAAAAATGTGACATTACATCATTCAGTAACCAATTTATACGACTATAAAACACCTTAATTAGCTCAGAAATATAGTTATTCATAAATGTTATCCGAAATATAAGATTGCAAGGATTTTTCATTTAATATTAGGTCAGAATTTACAAGATTACAAATTCGTGCTTCTAATATTCTCAGTTACAGACTATTTAGGACCTGTACAAGATTCATTACGTCATGTGCTCCAATGACGTTACGTAAGTTTGTGAAATAATGATAAAAATATAATAAACGTACCAAGCGTCCAGCGGCGTTATTATGACTATTCATTTTTGACTTTTTGGAGTTTCTAATTTTGCCTTTCTTCATCAAGTTCCTGCATCAGTGAACTGTTGGCCGAAGTGGAGTCCATATTTCAGATCGTCCCCGCAACCTCCCCACTTAAATTCCTCTTGGGGTGGGTGGTTAGGGAGAGCTCCACAACTACATTTAGTGGTCACTCCCACACTACATGCACGTGCAATGGAATGCACGAGAGAGGCCGAGGCTATAGCGTATACATAAGCTTGCTCTCTGGTTCCTGGAATATGTTGAGATGGTATTAATTTATATTCAGAAAAATTTTAGCATAGTAGTATGCTGTATTTCATATTACTGTCATTAGAATGAATCTCATAGTGATAAGTATTTATTTAAAGTTTAATCAAGTTCAGATCTGTTACGAAACCATTTCTCATTCATTTGGGATAATACCCTCAAATACTGTTAAAGACATAACACCGAAGGGACAATAATTATGAAAGAATTATTTATTGGCAAATTATGCCTGGTTTCGCGCCAGTAATGTGCTTCCTCTTTGCCGCCTCTCAATCAGACATTGCTTTATGAATCTCTGATTCTAGAAAATGACAATAAACAGAGAGAATAAGCAAAAGAGAGGTCTTCATAAATAATCGAAAATGGCACTCGTTCCGTTTTATTTACAGATTAACAAGACGCAGAAATCCCACCTCAACACCTAGCGGAAGATAACATTTCCTAACTAAAAGTCAAATACATCATGGAGCTTATCTCCGGCTTGGTAACAGAATAAATCAGAGAGATGATACCGCGTTATTTTTACATTGGTAGATTTATATGTCCTGTCTTTCACAATTTATATAATGTTCTGCTTCAATGTTTGCAGAAATACAAATCCTCATAAACGACTTCCTTGAGAATACCGTTTGTTTCACATCATAATTAGCAAATGCACATAGGATAAAAAGGTCATTTAAAATAACTTTAGGG